TGGGCGCTTTTTATTTCACTTCTTTTGGACTGAAGCACTGCAACACCCGCTGACTGCAATGATAGAGCTTGGAATAGCCAGGACAATTTTTAATATAACGCCGACTGGATTCGTCTGAAAGAAGAAAGTCATATACACCTAGGATGCCTCGGGGGTGAGTAAAACGCAGCCTAATTTTCTTTTTTGGGTCAACTAACTCTTTAAATTATGTAATTGTATTGCTACACAAGCTCATATATATTTGGGAAAGTACAGTACTATATTATGGATGATGCTTTTTCTTATAGGATGTGACTGTCAGATGTAGTGGACCCTTCAGCCAGGGTCATAACACAATGCTCTTGCTGTAACCCAATTAAAACCCTCAAGTGTATTTGATGAGGATATACACTCCTACAGAAATACATGAAAATAGGGTTGGGAATCTAAAGCTGGTTCTTATTCCGAACCAGTTCCATTTTTAAATGTGTGTGTGTGTGTGTATTTTATATATATATACAGTGGTGTGAAAAAGTGTTGGCCACCTTCCTGATTTCTTATTTTTTTGCATGTTTGTCACACTTTAATGTTTAAACTGGGTGTTTGCAATGACAGTGCAGGTATGTGCCAAACAGAGCAATGTTTATCGTCTAACTCAGTGAATCGCAAAACTTGCGCTAAAGTTCTGATGCATTGTGTTTTGTGTGTCGATTTCAGCATCTGGTTTGGTTAAAGGAACCCGGGTTGTTTGCAACTTAATGTCTATGTAAAGCATTTATGTTTTTGCGGAGGAATTACTGGTTTTGCATAGCTAATGTAGAGTTTGCTGCTCCGTGTAACTAGTCTTTTATATAAAAAAGTCCCATTTCTGGTATCCTCACATAGATAGCAAGTGAAAGCAATTGGGTTTAGTTTTTTTTTTTTAATACACTAATGTTCGAAAATTTGGGGTCAGTAAGATATATACAGTATGTATGTTTTGTGTGTGTGTGTGTATGTATATATATATATAAAAAAAATTTTTTTAAAGAAATTAATACCTTATTCAGATATTTTTTGCTTTTGAACCTTCTATTAAAACAAAATTTAGATGAATTTAAAAAATATATTTTATTATTATAATAATTATTTTATTTATTTTTTTTACAGTGATCTTTATTATTTTTTAAATCAAACAAATGCAGCCTTGGTGGGCATAAGACTTCTTCGAAAAGCATTTTCAAATCTTACCAATCCCCAACTTTTGAACGGCAGTGTATAGTTAACTTGTCATAGACGTTAAAGTGTAAATAATTCAGAATTTTCCTTTAAAGGAATGTTCAGGGTTCAAAATGAGTCTGTGGCCTGCTGTTGATGATCACAGGCAGTCATTTTTACTTGCTTGAATCATCCTTTTAGAGTGGGACTACTTTTATAGTTGGATAAACTTCTGGTTACCAAGAAGTTTACCAATTTAAGTGTTTAAGGTTGCATCTGAAAAGCACAAGTAAAACGTGCTTCACCGATAGAAACATCACGTATCTTTGTGGTGTCCTCATACATGTACTAAGCAGTGTTTTTAGTAGTTTATACTGATAAAGTATTTATTTAAATTTTGATTTTTATCATTAATTTATTTACTTAATTTTAATTGAAGTTTTAGTAGGCTTTTTAATGTGATTTTTTTATTTTATTTAAAGGGGTCATATGATGCTTTTTTAAAGATCATTATTTGGTGTATTTGGTGTAACCGAATATGTTGACATGCTTTAATGTTCAAAAAACACATTATTTTTCAAATACTGTACGTTATTGTAGGTCCTCTATGCCCCGCCTCTCTCAAACGCTTCGTTTTCTACAAAGCCCCCTCCTTTGACAAGCGCAGTCTGCTCTGATTGGCCAGCTGACCCAGAGCATTGTGATTGGCCGAACACCGCAAGCACTCGTCGGAAATGTAACGGCCCTTACCATAATCGCGAGCTTCATCTTTCAAAATAAATGTAAAGACAGAGCAATGTCTTTACTCTGGGGAACAGAGTCGCGTGACAGACACAATGATGAAGCTGGTATGTGTTTGCAGCACACAAGCCACGGTTAAGACAGCTGACTCCACTGTGATGTGACCCTGTCTCTCTCTCTCTCGCTCTCTCTCTCGCTC